CGAATATTAATTTAATATTTATATTAATATTAAATATATATTATATAATAATATATATAAATAATATTATATATTGTATATAATACTAATATTAATATTAATATTATTGTGAGATACCATAAATAAACGCGCGATCTTTATAAATATATCAATTGTCGTTTAAGAGAATATGGGTAATATAAAGGTGTTAATATATAACTGTTTCAATAAAATCTGATAATTCGAAAGAAAATAATAATAAAATAAAATAGAATAATAATAGCGTCTCTTGAACGCGAATATATTGTTTTAGAAGTTGAATGTGTAAGATAAATACGCGTTAAAAAGTACAGCTATTGTATATGCTATTGAAATCATATATTTATTAAATACACAATATTTATTACGAATGCATCATCACGATTTTTTCAAGCTATGTGATTTATTTCTCTTCTGACGGTTCTAAAGAGATGAAATAAACACGCAAATAGGGTGTTCCGGGTCCCGGGACATGCGAGCTAGGAATTATAGTATCATCATTGCACCATGGATGCTGCGTGTGATCTTCCCCATATCGAGCCGCGGGTGGAAAACCATCGCAAAAGGGTAAAGTTCATGACACGATTTCGCCATTCACGCTGTTTAATGGCAAAAACTCGATGCGTATTACCTACGCGTTTTCCACCCACTGGTTTCTAAGAAGGATAATGACGATGATGCGAACATCGGCTGGAGGCGCATCGAATGCGCCATTAAAAGACGGTGACTCTCGAGATGAGCGGATACGGGATGAAAGGTCATTGATAAGTCGGCTACTCGTGTATGGCCTCAGGAGATTGTAATTCATAGCGCACGTGTACATGAATATTCAAAGTTAAACAATTGCAATTATCTGTTGTGAGACAATTTGCGCGGTTACAACTATAATCATGGATAAAAAAATCCATATAAAAAAAAAAGAATTATTGTTGCATTCTTTTGATTAACTGTGTTCAAATGTTATTTATGAAATAAAAAAAAAAAAATATATATATTTTTACATTGCACATTTTTTCAAATAATTTCATATAATTTTATATAAGAATAAATGACACTTGTAGCATTTTTTAATGTAATATTTTTCTGTAAAATTGTCTCAAAAAGAATGAATGCGCAAATAACATTTTCTACCTACTATATATGGAAATGTCCTGCACATGGATTTAGGAACTATATATAATATTATAGGTATGCGTGTATATCGGTCATGCCGCATATCTTATTTTTACGGGATTCCCAACATTAAATCATCTGACCTTTTGCACAATGCGAAACTTTTCCCGGAATTGCTGCGAGTATAATGTCAATTTAATTACCCAACAACTTATGCACGCACTGGGATAATTCAGTTTTCCATTTCGACATAGCATATCCTTCATCAATCTCCGCGTACCAACAAAATTGATTAATTTATATATTACAAGAAATTAATTTTTGTTACAAAAAAGTTCCATGATTATTTAATATTGTAATTGGCGTTATCTACGATTCGAGAAATGCTGGTTAAGGCGAATGAAAAAGCGGTCGGCGATGGATTGCGGGTTTTATTTTTGGCCAGATACGATCGAACGACCGAGTGGCAACAGCCGATCGATCGACTATTCGAATAACGCCGGCGAAATAGTTAAACATAGAGAAGTGTCGTACGTGCCTATTCTCTGTATTGTTTTCATTGAGATGTCGGACGCAACATCGATGGAATATTTGGCCGTAGCGTCCGGTATTTGCCGCGATATTTTGACAATTCGATGTTGATGTATTTTACATCAACAATATGATCAATCAACAATTGTCATAATGGAGTAATTATTTAAATAATTATTTTAAAAACAAAAAGATTATGTAATTGTGTATATAACTACGTAATCTTTATATATATCATATATGTATATAAAATTAAATGTTTACGATATTCTTATTGATATTATTTATAAATATAACGTGACTGTGTGTGTTCGATACTTATTGAAGTATATTTTCAACGATAATTTTTTTTTCTTTGATGTGATTTGAAAATTTCTGCTATTATTGTTGATCGTTTCATATAAATATTTAACATTAGATTGATTTATTTGGAAAAATACGAATAAACTTTTCGTTTTATTCAAACATTTTTCTTTCGGAAATTTCTGCTGTTCTCTACTTTTTTCATTTTTTATTATAATATATTTTATAGATACTTGAGAGATATTTGGATTATTTTTTGATTGCCGTAGTTATATACATCGTGCGTAAAAACCAACATTTATTCACTCCATGACGTAAAATGGGATATGTAATGGAATTAATAAATCGATCGCAAATATTGCGTCTTCATCCTTGTTATTAGATTAGTAGAATTGGCGCTGAACGGTCAATAATTATGGGATTTGCATCATTTGCGTAAAAATACTTCATTAAAAATCTTTATTTCTCATTTGCAACGATTAACTTAAGAGTCCATTAAATACTTTTCAAGACAAAATATAACGCTATTACTTTTAAATAAATTAAAGAAAATAATAACTATATATATATATACATATATAAAAATTCTGTGCGCGATACAATTAATCAAATTTTAATATATATATCATAAATTAATATATCATATTACTTATTTTAAAAATTATCGGTTTAATTTTGTACAATTAATAACTTGCATATCCCTCGTACGTAACTTTCCAATAATTTCCAGAATTATGCCCCTCAAAGAGAAACTTCATTACATTATCTCAAGGAACTTTCAAGAAGTAAACTGCAACCGATATATCGCGATAGTTAGGCTGCTGCGCCTTGAAGATTCCGTCTTTGATCGACGCACAAACAATCCGGCAAATGGTTCATTGTTCGCCATACGCGTCACAACGTTACGTACGAACCTTTCCGTCTAGCAAAGCCGTAGAACATTGCCGTAAATGTGCTCATCATTGATTATCTAAATATAGAAACTGCGAGCCGACATGTAGTAGCAGTGCGGCGCGTTTCGCGCGATTGATCCCAACTATATACATACATATTATACATAATCTAATACATACAAGTATATATGTATTAGTTTTTCTCGAAAGAACGCATCAAACGTGTAAACATCGCAAAAAATGCGCATTGAATTGCATTAATCGCTACTCAACAAGAAGGAAATTTTTCACGCGCGGATAGATAACATGCACACGATAATGCTTCCTAATCTCCGTTATAATACATCGCGAATGCGAAACAATCCGAAATTATCATGTGTCCTTCAAAGAGATCGAGCCACCCTTTCCCTTCTCTCCCTCTCTCTCTCTCTCTCTCCCCGTTTATCGGCAATGTGTGGGTGCCGTAACGATAGTCGGCAATGCTTGAATCATCCTGCGTTTTATCGAGATTGACCAAGATCGCGAAATACTCGAGCACGATATTGGTTACAAATATGTTATCTCGATTGGCCAAATATAATATCTTTAATCGAGCTAGAGTGGAGATAAAAATGAAAAAAGGAAATGTGCAGAGAATCGAGGAAAGTCAGAGCGAGAAATAGAAAGCTATATTAGTTTTCTCGAAATTATAATTAACAAATAGCTGTGTATCATAATAAAAAATATTATACTTAATTAATAAAATTATAATAAATTATAATTAATATATAATATAGTAGATGTTAAAAAGATCTCGAAATGCGAGAGAAATTTAATTAATATATAGGAGCGAAACTTCACACGCGGCATGTTAATTAATATACATTAATATTTTTCACGATCGACTTTTTTGCCGCTACATCGAATAAGATTAAGATACGTTATCGCACCTTATAAAGATTCAAAGATTACGGCGCGAGTCGTCTCTCGGTTTATATGACTCTGGATGAAAAATCGAGTCCGCGTATATAAACGAGCTTCGAGAAGCTCCGTTGCACTCTATCGGAAATTCTGTCGTGTGCCGCGGACGGACGGGTCGTGCGAGAAGGATCGATTGGCGGCGACAAGGGCCTCGGCAATTGCGTCTTAAAACGCATCTTACAACGTCGTGACCGTCGTCATATTCTCGCCCTCCTCTCTCGCCGAGCCTTGCGCGATTCTTACGCGATTTTTGCGCATTCATACATCCGCGAAAAGTCATCGATCGCCGCTCCCCGCGAAACTCTTCGCGTGTAAATCGCGATGAGCGATTCGGAGCACGAGGTATATAGTCCCCGTTCTATAATCGCTCATTGATCTAGTTATACGTTGGACGCGTTACAGTTTGTGGAAAGGAAATACGGCCGTTTACGCGAGTACTTTCCGATTCATTGATCATAGAAATGGTCACGAAATTGGCATGAAATGGTGCACGATGCAGCTCGACGAAACAATCGCCATTTGTATTATCGTACGAACGCGAAGCGGAAACTAGGAATATATCATCTTTCCAATTTCCGAACTTATGACGCGGAACTTGACTCGCGGTGCTCGACTTCGTGTTTCTCGACGAGGTTTAAGGTGGTCTCGCGGCAAGTCTATCGGAAAAACTTTGACGTACCGCGACGCGAATCGTCTCGTTCGAAACGCTAATATACACGTCACTTGGACCATCCTGATTAATATTATACTCCTCATCTGCATGCATCTCGATTACATTCTTAGGCAGCATTTCACAATGATTCGTATTCGAACTAATTAGAGAACTTGTTCGCGATCCGTCCAAGAATTTTCTGATCGATGTCACACGAGACGCGAATAATCGTTTAATCACGCGACGTTCTCGCGGATCCTCGGACCTCGTTTGCTCGGGGACTCGGAGAGATGGAGAGAGAGCCGCGCGTATTATCACGTGTACTCACATGCTCGCAGTAGTCGATCGCCTCGGGCTCTTTCTATTCCGGCAATCCTCGTCGTCGGTTAATCGGTCGGCTCGGCGTCAACCCCCGGTCGGCGTTCGGCGCGTAACTTTTCGCGAACGACTGCCACAGCGAGACTAGATGGCCGCCGAGGTATTGATAAAATTTCCAGCGACACACGCCGCCGCGCCGCGATATCGCCGGCGCGCACGCTTCGACGATATATCTCGATCCGTCCACCCTCGAACTTTTGACCGTCCCCTTCGTCGATTCGCCGCGACGATTACGCCCGCGATCGCGCGCCGAGGATAGCGGCGAGGATATCGCCGATCGCGAGATCGGCCGGATACCTCGCGAGGAACGGCGGACAGGATCGCGTGGCGAATGTGCGTTTGAAAGGGCAGCGCGCACGCCGTGGCCGAGGATCGATCTCTCGAGGAAGCGACAGGGTCGACGGACGGTTTTCCAACCCTCCCCGAATGCGCACGCGTGGCCGATTTTGGTCAATACGACGGTCCCGATGCCGTTTCGCAATCCCCATGCGCGAACACACCCTACACTGCCGCCAGGAACGTGTCCGCGTGTCCGGGTCACCACGTGTGTCCTCTTGCTTTCGTTTCATGTTGATGAATATCCAAGAGAAATTGTCCTATATAAAATACATGTAAAATATAGCTGGAATTTTGTTAATAATATTTTGATCTCGCTTGTTTCATAATGCGCTCCTTGCGCGGAAATAGACACGTCTCTGTGAGATATAATAATGCAATCATTGCGATGATTCTGAAATATTTGTTGGATTAATTTATAGGAAACTTCTACACCGGTTCTTAGATATTTCGAGTGTCTATGATGTGATATATTAGCTCATACGCGAATTTGACAATTACTTAAAATATATGATTTTCATCTTAATGTATACTTCGATATACATAAGAACTTGTAGAGTTAAAGATTCTTTTATAATTAAAGATTGTATTGATATAAATATTTCAAACGTTTGCGCATTTATTATTGAATCGGAGACAAATGTCGGATTGAAAAATAAGATTAAAAAAATCGTAGTTTGATCGCGCTTCCGTATACATCGAAATCGCGTACTTGGCGTACATTCCTGGCGACGCGGTGCAAATACGCGCACGTGCGCAAATCCGCAACATGTTTTATTGTATACCCCCGTTTTGCTCGCAATTTTCTTCGTGAGTCACGTCGATGTCACGGTGAACGACGGCCGGCGCGCGTCCAAAATGCTTCTGCGATATTGCTCGTACGCTCGATTATGGCAACTCGTAGCGGTAAGTGTGTGACCGTAGCTTTTCGCGGCAATAGCTTTCTACGTATGTATTGTGTATTTCGTGTGTCTGCGTCGTCATCTCGGGCAAATCGTCTCGAGCCCATTTAATTTTATTTCCCGGCCGACGAAGATGGCCGTCTGAGAAATGTCATTGTAATTGTCATTCGCCCTTAAGTGAAATTTCGAGACGAAATTTAACTGCAATTTGACCTAATTACTAACAATTCGTTATAAAATATTGTTCGGTAATTTTTTCTACACTCAAAAAAATGTCTTGCTGATATAGGTAGATTTCTAGGTGTCACAACAAAAATTTATCGCTATTTTTTGTATCTGTTAGAATATTGTCTGTTACATATAGAATTTATAGCAGCAACATTCTAATAATATCTTCTAGAAAATTTAGGTCCCATTGCCAAATGTTAATCACTGCATTGGATAAATATGAGTTTCGATACTACAGCTAGAACGATCTTTGTGAGAAATATAACTGCCAATTATAACTGCAGCATCGAAAAATTGAGAGAAATTGTTTAAAAGAGCTAGATAGATTGGGCGCGTTATACAAATATGTTAGATGTGAGGATTATATATTCATTTGTTTCTTGCCGCTAATCTTTTCTGTGTACCACAGCCAAACTTTATAACAAGTATGATTGGCCTTAACATGGATAGGCGCCACAGAAAAACATTCTTTCTAAATTTCACAAACAGTTCAGATATAAATTCTGTCTCTGTCACTTAGATTGATTAAATGCGAAACATATGCGATATCACAGTATTTGCTAATCATTTATGTACCTCAGTTAATTTTGCGCACCCAGAAAATTTTTGCTGTAGTTGCAAAACCACTTTTTTTAGTGTACTTTTATTCAACTCTCTCGTTTATATAGATACACGATTGTATTATCGAAAAAATATATTTCAACTTGATAACATTTAGTTGAATTATAACGATATAGGAAATAAAGGCTAAAGACTAAAGAAATATTCATGTAACAAATATCGTGAAATATTGAAATTATAATTCTTTAATAAAACGATCGATTGCTTATAAAAAAAATATATAATTGATTTAATAATAATTAACTCTGTCGTATATGTATTGAATATATAATTTAATTATTTTATTTACGTTTATGTGTATTTTAATGTTAATCATTGTATTATTACATTAATTTGGTGCAATGAAAATTTATTGTTACATGACTATAGTAGACTGCGGTAGATTAGTGGGCGAAATCGTTTTTATCGACACAGAAATTTCGATCTAATAATTCTACAAATTGCTAGATGGCGTGAAGAGACAATATTTTGATTTTTAACGAACTGTTATTTTAATTGTGACAGCGCAAGACTTGTATCACATTTTATTGACTATTTAGTTATATTATAAACCGTACATACATTACACAGGAAAGAAACGATCCTCGATCGGTTCAACCATATATTTTTTTGCTAGCCCATCCTTGGTGAGCATATTTTTTGCATATTTTTTACAATATGACGTCATAATTATCGCCATCTTCGGCCTCTGTCATTTCACTGTTGCTGCTATAAATTGTAGTCGTCATCTCGTCATCGCAGTAATTTGGAAGATATTCGTTGTGCCTGTAGATTTTATTGTTTATTCTTGATTTGTTCCTGCATTTGATATCTTTAAGTGAGTGAAAAACAAGCGTATGTATGTATAGTATTGAAATCGTTATAGTACCATCACACTGAATACCGTATTGTATTGATGATTGAACGATGATTTCGTCACTATAATTTTATCTCTTCGCCTTTTCATTTATATATATGCATACAAGAATTTCTTTGTACAAAATTTATCAATAAAAGAGCCATAAATATTCCGCAAATTGGCAGATGTATAAATAAAGCTCGTTAAAGAAGAACATATGTAGGACTTTTGAGGTTATGGGTGTGTACCCATTATTTTTCTGACATAATTTCTTCAAAAATTATTGGATGAAATAGACAAGTGGCTTTTACATTATTTATCCCATAGTCGAAAATAATCTACATCGTGATTATAAACTGACAAATATTTATGGAGGAATTGTTAGAATTGGAAGAGATGTTAATCGCAAAACATTTTTATTTCAGGATTATGGAAGGTGGCGGTGCAGGAGAAGGAGAAATGGGTGGACCTCGAAACACTCAGCAAGCAGGAGCGAGCAAAAAGTTGCAGCAAACGCAAGCGACCGTGGACGAGGTTGTAGGTATAATGAAAGTTAACGTGGAGAAGGTATTGGAGAGAGATCAGAAGCTCTCGGAGCTTGAAAATCGCGCTGATGCCCTACAACAAGGCGCAACGCAGTTTGAGCAACACGCTGGAAAGTTGAAACGAAAATATTGGTGGAAAAATCTCAAAATGATGATTATTATTGGCATCATCTGCGTCGTCATCTTAATCATCATCATTGGTGAGTACACGCGATATATTCACGAATCTGGTGTGTTTAACTTTGTATTGTTACATATATTATTCTTTTTTTTTTTTCAATTTTTATGTTAGCTTCGATTGTACCAAGTTCGTCTTCGGACAGCAATGATAATGCTCCAAAATGATAGCATTGTACCAAAAGGGTGGATACTGTGTTGTTCCAATCAACCATCCTCTCTATTAGCATAAGTTATGTATGCATTCGGTGAATTACGTACAGGGGGACTAAAGCGCTAGATGAAACGTGATTGTGAATTATATATTTATATGATGTTTGTGTAATATTGTCACATGCGAAACCTGGATGAAAGAGCATATTTTTGAGATTCAATATTATATCGAAAAGCACGCACAATTATTAGACTAACAACCAGTATTAATATATAAGAGTGGCCTTATCTTTTTTAAAAAAAGAAAAACAAACTCCGGTGTTTTTACGATGTTAATCTTGTTACAACGATGCTTATAAATTTATTGATATATAATATATATAATGTTTGTATTCTTTCCGACCGAGTTTATCGATATTGATTCTCTTCCAGCCTGCTTCGTCTATTCCATTCCCTGTATGCAGTAATTGAAATCAGACCCAAGTATTAATTTTTTATAAAACGATTATACGCTATATAATACACAACTGACATAGTTTTTTTCAGAAACAGCATCACGTTTAACTCACGCTGCTGAAGTCATTAGAAATATTACATGAGTCATCTCTCACTTCTCAGCATCGTAAAAAAGAGCGTTGCATTAAACGACGATATTATCACAAATGCGTATTTTTATCACGTTCGAATTTGTCCCCTTTTGGGTTCTGTCTCGATTATATAAGTAGGAAATGTCAGTTGTTCATAAATATTTATATTCCGTCATTCTTCCACTCGACAGTCCGCAGTAATATCAGTTTCATTTTAATTCAATGACAAATTTATATGTTAGCATAATAGATTATAATAGATTATTTAGAATATTATTGAGATCTAATTCTTTATATACAGGGTGTCCCAAAGCACCCTTAATTGATATATAATATATAAATTATTTTGCAACAATGCAGAAAACAAGATCCTCCCCGGTCATTATCGGACATTGACGCGCTTTTTCTATCCATCCTTCGATCGTTCGATCGCGTGATTCAAGCTCGGAAGCATCGAAATTTCACACAAAAGACGAGATTAGAGCGTTTCTTCAATGGCCAATTAGTATCTTTCTTCCATCGATCAATGCACGTTGAATTATTCGGTAAATTCGCGATGGTCAAGGACGACCGTTTTTTTATTCGCGTGTCATAATAGCTTATATCGCGTGCGAGCGAAATGACATGGCTAAAGGAAAAGGTCGTCGCCCACAGACTCATTAAATGGATTCGTCGAAAATTACCGTGCATAGAGCCGAGTTATTTGTCTTTCGCCGCGTCGGTTCATGAGGAAAACGTTCATAAAGGAAATATCATTTCTAATGCACTGTCGTCGCGTATAATCGCATAGCTGGATGACAATGCCTTTCGTTATCGGTCGATGTTATCAATCATTATGTCGAGTCGAAAAACGTCACCACATAACATTAGACTATGGAATACAATTTGTATGATTTCACGAATTTAAGCGGCTACGATTTCTACGAGCAGCAATTCGGTTCTCGAGGCGTTCATTGTAAAATTTATTTTTTTCCCAAAATTATTTTTAACTCACAAGAAAAAACACATTTTATTATATAGTATATATATATGCGTATTATTATTTTATAATAAAAATTTATCGCGACGAGAGGTTCTTCGGTAGAATAAAAATTCAAAGTTCGCGTGCACGTGTTCTTCCGGAACTTGGCCGCGGCGGAATTTCGTTCCGAAAGCGCGACGAAGATCCGTCACGTGCCTCTACACCATTCGGACTCTCGTTACGCGAAATGTCGAAGAATCGATCGCGAGGAGGAGCGGTACCGTCGCTCGTGCCGCCGCTGACGTATAGGATTTTGAATTTCCTGCAAACATAGTGAGTGAAATCTCGGCCGCTTCATTCATATACCTATCAGTCGGCTCACGACCGTCCAGCCGGACAGTCAGAGGCGCTCGCGCGCTCTCTCGCCGCGTCTCGTCTCGGGGTCACCAAACGATTTCGCGTCGGATTCATCTCTCGAATCGACGGGTAATCCCTGACAGAAAAGTCCCGGTTAACTCGACGAGATGTAAACCGCATGTACATACACGGTAAACCGGTACCACCTTGCCATTTTTCCGTGCAACGTAACACGAAGTAAGTCGCAGGCGGCGTCTTGGAAATTAATCTCCGGCACCGATCGAGAATTTCGAAGACACGAGAACTTCGTCAAGTAAGATACTCTTCTTTTATCTAAACGTCGTTCACTCCCGGATTTTTTTCTTGAATGTAAAATTCATATCTTAAATTATGCCGCGCGAATTCGATCGATCATGTCGATAGTACTTTTAGAATGATAGAATCGTGATCTAGCGATAATCATCTCGTGACGAGCGTATTTAGTTCGCAAAACATCCTCAATGTCAATATTTACTAGTTCGAAAGTTTGCTTCGCGCGATATGAGAAACAGTCGTGTTTCGCACCGATCGAGAGGTGCAGTCTTCGATTACGTTGGACCAACGCGATTTTTGTCCGGCCTTTTGTCATCCTTGTTGCCGGTGTTTGCACAGTGACTGGACGATATTCTCAGGCTTACTTTATCTCGCTCGCGACTGTTACCGCGCTGCAAATATCGACATGACGCGGTTCGCGCATCTTCGAAAGCGCGCCGGTTCCCGCGATTTAAATCGCGAGTCTACGAGATTCGATGCTCTTCGTCGCGCGTTTAACGGTTCGGTAACAGCTGCGCGAGATGTAGTGCTTATGTATCTTACAACGAAATACGTAAATCAAACACAAGGTCACATTTCTTGAGTGCGGTTTTATCGGTGCGATAAATTCGGAGTGAGTCGCAAAGTCAACGGAATCGATAGCTATCGAAGCAAAGATACAAGCGCTTATTTCTGCAACTGATTCTCGAAGTGTTCTGACGTCCCGTGATACGAGTTATTATTCGTACAATAATCGAGATTATTTTCGATATTACGGAATGATAACCGCCTTTTTGTTTATCAGAGATTTATTTTAATAAGGAGAATCTTTCTCAACACATGTTGAATTTAGTTTCAATTATTCCCGCATAATTTTTGAACTTCATGCCGTGACGACTTCCATGTTCGCGACAGACTTTGTTAATTATAAGATTCGGGACTCTGAAAATCTTGAGGGTGGTACCGGTCCTCCAGGTCAAACATATCATCGATGAATTGCCGCTATCGTGAGGAAAGAGAACGAGGAAGAAGAAGAAGAAGATCGGACGCCTTCGAGGATCAATCGTGGATAGAACGTTAAATTTCAATCTGGATTCATCTCCGATTCTTCTGCTCTTCCCATTTCATTTTCTTTTCCCCATTATTCTCTCCTTCCGCTGACGGAAATTTTTCTTGGAGACAACCTTTTGCGGCGATTAAAAAATTTTTGAGTTTACCGCTCTCGTCCAACGGGATAGGAAATCAAGATGACGTCGCAAGGAGAAAATGAGGAGGAGTACGGATTGGGGTATCAGAACACTTTGGTGAGTACCCCGCTTGAATTTTACGAGATTTTTGCGAATTGATATCGATGCGATTGAAATTATTGCGAGCTAATCAATATACGATGATTGATCGCGGATAATTTTTATTTTGTAATTCGACGAAATTTCATAAATAATAAGAAGCTTGCGTAAAGATAGAGAAGAGAGATGTGGAAAAGTAAATTTCTATAAAAAAAAGAGCGCGATTTGATAATATCAAATAACTTGATTGCTCTGTGTGTTAATTCTAAAATTTATTCGATCTCCGATAAATTATTAGATATAAAATAAAAAATATTTCATAAAAAATTATATATCTTTATGCTACTTGAAAGAAAATGTCGGAAATTTATTCTGAACATTTTTCCGCTATTTTAAAATGAGATGGTTAAATAATTGATAATTTTGACTACATAGTAATCCGTATCTTCTTTTTAAGACTTAATTTATCTTTATTCTTATCTTCAAACTTTCTTCGTTCCAATATACTAACGAGACGCGTTATAAAGATATAACTAACTCTTTAACACCTTCTTCAGGGACTTCGAAAATCGCGAGCGCTACGCTCCGACTTTTTAGTATGTCCATTAAAATCCGTTTCACCAATTTTTATGACTATGTACGCAAATCATCATTGCAAAAAAAAAAAAAAAATATTGATAAGAAATATCGGCAGTCGAATCGAAGAAATGGGCGACTTGTTTTTTTATGGGGATGCGTTTTTGGCAGACACTTTTGTATGCGAATCGAATAAAAAGAGGAAGAAAGAAAACGGCGATTCTCTTCAAAAATAACGCGCGGCAATGATTGAAAACTTATATCTTCGTTTATTCTTGGCCGAAATGTCGTTAGTAGTCATAAATAAGTCGTATTGCAGATTCCACCTGATGACTCAAAACTATTCTCAATAATTTTCTTGCTTATGCAGGCGCAATTTTTTACCCTAAGAGTACAAATATAATATCCTTCTAGAAAATATATTTATATTATAAGCGTATATGTTTCAAATTTATGGTAATAATATTAATTTCCAGTATTCTAACGGAATACTGTAACAACGAAAAAACACTTTTATAATTAAATCAATTAGATATAATTAGATTTTCCGACTAAAACGGACAAGTTTGTCCAGCTATGTATTAACTCGTGGCTTTTCAATTCTGATGTCTCTCCTTATTTTTATCTGCTCGCTTTCCTATTTTGCAACGAGTCGTTAGAGAATCCGCGAGATTACAATGCCTGCCAAGTCTGCCCGGGATTTCAGATTTTCCGCGTGCTTCCGAATGAGAGTACAATGCATTGTGACCTCGACCATACTAACGTATTGCTATGCGAAGCACCCTGTGCAATCGCGTAATCCTAACTGCCATACGTCATCTGACATGTCGGTGTATGTCACGTGCATACATTTTTTTCTGTATATGTACGCTTTTTATTAATCTGCTACCTCAGCCGAATGTGCAGCACCTGCAAATGATCGCGTTTTCTTTTCTCGTCAATTTCCTCATATTTTGACAAATTTTTGAAATTACAAATTCTATATTCTTTCTAAAAAAAATGTCAAAGTATCATAGAATTCACAAAGAAAATGTTTTTCGAAATTTTTAGAGACGGAAAATAGTTTTGCAAAATTCTTGTGTATAACCTACTCTTCCTATTTTTCTAATTTTTTTCTGATTTTCCTTCCAATATGTATGATTCACTATGATATTTTTAATCTATTCTTCGAATCACGTGATACTGTCATGTTATTATGCATGTGATCGCCACTTGAGCAATTAAAAGTTGTTATTTAATTAAAATTCGACATCTATAATTTATGGCTGCGCGATAATCGTAATGTGTGTTTATAATTAAACGTTGTTGGGAGGTATCGGTGATTAAAGAACGTTATAAATCCTTATATTCTTAGCTACTCTTCACATCACAATATTTATTCTTGCTCGCGTAATTTATCTATCTGCCAAATAACGTTACGAACAGCGTGACTCGTACAATACTTTCGATTACGGTAATTTTTACGATTATTTCATAATTAGTGTTATAACAATTTCAATTAATTAAAAATAAACTATTATTTGTACTATTCTATTCATTTTATTTGTTGTCTTTTTTTTTACAATTTTATATATAAATTATTTATTTTAAATTCTTATAATTAAAAGTCAATATAAATTGTATTTTGTGAGATTTTATAATTTTTTGAAATATTATCGGAGCGGTAGTTGTAGAACTTTTTCTTCGATTTACAATTGTCGTTGGTTGGGTAATTCGTAACTATGTTGGTAAAATTAAATATTTATGATGTAATTTTGCAAATGTTCCGTAAAACCTCGATTTTATCTTAACGTGAAATATCCATATATTATATGCTCGACAGTTTCAATTATTCTCACGGAAAACTGAATTGTATTACACTGAACTGTAATCGAACTCTTTTTATAGAATGTCCCAGGATTTCATAGTAAAATAATGATAGATACCAGTATGTTATACAAAAAATAGAAATAAGAAAAAGGTATACAAACATATTTTTTCATATTTCTACGTCTAGAACATACAATCTGACCAAAAAATTCCGGGATACCTTATATAAACAATACTTTTATAATTAAATTACAACTTTATGATTTAATTATTAATTAATGATCAAGTTTATTATATATATTACATTTTTTTAATATGTGATGAAATTACATAATATCAATGCGCAATCATTCAAATTCGCACTATCGATTGCACGTTAATTGCTCTAATTGTCTCATCGATTAGATCTCTAATTAAGTTAGAGAATTGCAAACTTCCCCCTACTCCAATTTACTAATATTATATAACAGTGAGTTTATTTATTATCTATACATCGATCAGTGATCATCGCGCATTAATATTCTCGCATAACGTCTCGTCAAGGAAATAAATTCCAAGTTTGAGTGAAATAGTAAGTTAATTATCTCAGTGATTAAAGTTTCGCGATAGCACGTCCTTGCCCACGTCTGTATAATGCCGATTGTTTACGAAAACCACGAGACCTGGAATAGGTTCTAGCGATGATAACGGTTTCGTTGAAAGAAGAGATCGCCGTTCGTTATCGCGCAGAAAATTTTGCGGCGATAATAAAATGAAAATTTACGAAGAATTACCGTCATTGCCGCGTGCAATTATGTCGGAATTAAACCAGAAATTATGCTTTTTATCTCGCTCAAATACTTTACGCCAGAGAATAACTGTCGATTAATTTCGCGATAGTACGGTGCATTGTGGAGCACGCAGTTTGGAGCATGCTAAATCGCATATTTTTTATAGTGAGTTTGTATATTTCCATAATTGCACAATAAAAGAATAAGATTACTAGCGAAAGAATTACAGTTTTCTGCTTACTTTGTTCATTACCCCCGATAAAAAGAAAAAAAAAAAGATTTTTGATACTGCACAAAAATAACATTCGTTGAATTATACGCAAAATTATAATCTGATACAAGCCCAATCCTGAAAACTAGAACATTATTGTATACTTTAGTTCGTTCTAAATACGGTGGGAGGGAAATAAAAACGTATTCGCGCGTCGACATCGAATAATTATCGAACACTACAATTTTCGCGTAAAGTATGTCTTAGTTCGATCTATTTTCTCAGAAATAAAATGTAAATCCTAGCATTAATGCTTAAAACATTGACAGCCACAACACGAGCTTAACTAAACCCGAAGAGAAAGAAATACGCGTAATAATAGTAGCGAGCAAGATATCCTGCAATAAGATGATTGAGGAAACCTCTCGTCAGAAGTACAATCATCTCTTTTATTCTATATCGCGTACAAAAAAATTAAAGTTTTCCTTATTCACCGACTTACGCGTCGCTCCATCCGTAACTCTTATCACATACTGAAATTTCTTTGATTTAGCCTTCGGCTTTGCCACTCCCTTTTGTTTGTTTTCCTTTTTTTCCAAAACACTGTGTTGATCGAATACATAAATACACCTCTCTCTATTTTTCATGGCTTTATCTCACTCTCTCTCTCGTCTGTTTTCTTTCTCCAAAACACTGTGTCAGTTGTTTCAATTACTTTGCACATATTTTGGAAAGGGACTGGGAAACGAAATAAAAACGAGAACATCTCGGTTATTTTACAAAATCGAAAGGCAAACATTTCGCTGTGATACTTTCACGAAACGACACGGTCTGTCAAACGATTAATCTAGAAGAATTTCAGTCGACCATTTGATGCGTATGTGAAGAATAATAACAATTACCGCAGACATTATTTAATAGAATATGCCGTACGCAGTGTCTCAAGGTTTTTCCTCGTTTTAGGAAATATATGTGTGTGTGTGTGTGTGTGTGTGTGTATGTGTATGCCTATATGCGTGCGTGCGGGAAGTCGTGCGCTTGCAAATGGATAATTGAGAAAAATTGACAATATAAATCGGTTGTCGTTTCGCGTGACTTACCATTGAATTTATTTCTTTCTTGTATGAGATATCTTGTCGCGATTGTATAAATCGGCGATCTGTGCATATAATCAGATCGCATGCACGATCGACGTAGGTGCATCGTATCAATTTCGTTTGCATCTCGCGAATAATACGTACGTGTTTTTACGTAACCAAACGTCACATTACTTCTTTTTTTTTCTCTTATTCGCTGAATGTGTAATTTCTATTTTATTCACGGTGATTTTTATTTGATTCATATGTTGCAATTTAATCTTTTTCTATTTAAAGTCAGAAATATATATACAATCGAACAAATATCGATGATTCGACTGCGATATTTTAGCAATCAGTTTGCAGCGTTCAAACGTCAAATACATTTGCCATATGAATCGAGCACGTTATTGTAATTACTGTTATAGTAATGGTAATTAATCATTAATATCATCATTTCGTATTAACGAAAGAAGCAGCATGAAATATGTCATCCTTTTTTCTTATCTATCAACATAAGGAACGTGCGATGAAATATTTGCAAGCTATTTGTGCAAATGTAACTTCTGTGTGAAAAATGCGTAATAATATATTATATACATAGTTTAATCATTTAACGAAAAATAATAAATGTTTCCTTGATTTTTATCAATCTCAAGATATTATTTACTTTAAATTCTTTACAGTACATAAACGTAAGGAAGATTTTATATGAACAACGTAAAAATTATAATTGTAGAGAGTATATTTACGCAACATTCTCTTAATTAATTTCCTCAAAGACACCGTCGATAACTTTGATTTCGACAATAGTAACAGTGTTCAAAGCTCCCGCCAGAAAACTGCTCACAGTTTCTTCAATATTTCGTGATGTCAGTTCGGTCGACGGTGTGATGAGCGAACGTAGCATGTGAGGTATGCAAATCTGTCATCTATGAAATCAAGTATCACAAGTTTCTGTGAGAGAAAACGTTGAAAATACGATATTAAATCTGTGCGCGAATATGAATCAATAAATGAAGATCAGATCATCATCGATTCATTCGGATACCGGATACTCGAGTCTGTAATCGCTGATACGTAGTATCTCAACCAACTACAGCGCCAACCACGTGATTTTGCTGATACGTGTACGCGCTTAGTTCAAACGAGAGAGAGAGAGGAATTTACACTGAACCGATCTGATATGGGAAAAGAAAGAGATAGAGATTGATAAGAGATTTTTTCTCACTGTATAAACATAACGTGAAAAAAGTAAAGCTCATTTTATCTTGCTCTTAACTCAGAAGACAAATATAACGTGAGATCTTATATCTCGAAGAGAAATTTGAAATCGAAGCGACCTATCGCGAAATTGACCTCGAGTCGCATCGCAAATGATAAGCGACGATAAACTAAAGAAGCAACTAACTCGTGTCTGATAAAGTGAACCAAGCAATAAACCGGAACAGTACAATTTGATTGGCCGACCGCGATTATTAAGCGACGAAAATTATCGGAGATAATATGTTGATGTTCATTCATAAAGCGACGCTCAGTTGCTTCTGCAAACTTTTAACGACGAGCGTGTCGTCGCATGCGTGCATCGTCACTGCCGTTAACAGAATGATGTCCACCGGATGCCAGGATTATGACGAAAAGGTCGTCCCTAAGGACGAAGTCATCAGATTTATCCAGGATTGCATGTGCAAGGCCGGTACCACGCTGGAAGACGCGTACACTGTCGGACATCACTTGATGATAGCAGACTATAGAGGTCATTTTAGCCACGGGATGAATAGGATGCAGATGTACGTGAAAGACATCGAGAACAGAATCACCGATCCTATCGCTCGGCCGCAGATTGTCACCGATTTCCAGGTTCGAATGAATCTCTCGAGTTAATGATGGTGGAACTTGAGTACCGTGAAAAGAAGTATTTCACTTAAATTTAAATTCTCAAGTTTTTACATATTTAATTTGTCACGAGACATTTACGTTCACTCCGAAATTTTTTAATTAATAACAAGTTGATTCGCACACTTTTTACTTTTACTCATCACGTGTATAAAAACATCGTTCGTTATCAATTAATTGCGGAGCAAATATATCAATGACATAAATCTCTTTCGAGCGAATTAAATTGGAGTATAATTAAGAAAGATTTACATACGTGGTACTATAAAAAATTGTGTTTATATTCCATGATAATTATGGCGCCCGCTCGTTATACGACTGGCCTTCGTATCTTAACAACCGATGACCCGATAAGATACGCAGCCCTCTGATTAATAGGATTTGCTTTCTTCGTTAGCAAATGTGTTTGTCGCTGTCTCGTAAATCTTACATATGTTTTCCTCTTATCGTATTTTCAATCGGTTGTAAATATAATTTTATTTCATGCTGTCTCTATGCACTGTCGATTCAGCAAAATCACTCGCATTAGTTCATCGAAACATTATTATAACGGAGTTACAATTTATCCGAAGAATAAATCCGATGAAGAAAAACACGAATGCTAATTAATGCATCGTTTTAATTATTTTTTAAAATAATACTTATTTTGTTGCAAAAATTGCCGATATTTTTTCTTCAGAAACACGCGCGCGACAATTTGTCGAATAGATGCGCTGACAATTTGACGATCAGTAATAAACGCTTCAACACTAATTAGCGCGATTCTAATTACATTTTGAAATGGTATCTTTATTCGCGAAAATTACAGCGGTTATCGAAAATGTCATTCAGCATCTAACGCAATAATTGCATCTCGGTTTTATTCGAAGAGAGATAAAAGCTCACGTAAGAATTTTATCCAACGAGGAAATCTATTTTTAATAGATAGGAGAAAGCGAAACATTAGATTGCGACGCCAAGTTCCACCAGATTTTAGAACCTTCAGACTTTATATCTAGAAATTTTCTGCACATCGCGACTTTTAGGCAATAGCTCTCGTAAATGGGAAAAACGCGCTGGGCCAAGTGGTCGGCAAATATTGTATGGACCTCGCCGTGGAAAAGGCCAAGAAATTCGGCATCGGCATGGTGGCGGCACGTGGCTCCAATCACTATGGCATCTGCGGCTACTACACCATGATGGCGATGGAGCAAGACCTGATCGGTTTCAACTGCACCAACACGAGTCCGCTGATGGCGCCGACGCGCAGCGTGAAAGCCGGTCTAGGGACGAATCCGTTGTCCTTGGGTATGGCTACGGGCGACGGCGACGAATTTCTTCTCGACATGGCGACCACCACCGTCGCCCTGGGTAAGATCGAGCTAGCCATTCGGAAGGAGAAGGACATCCCCGAAGGCTGGGCGCTCGGATCTGACGGAAAAGTGACCCGCGACGCCGAGGAGGCTTTCAAAGCTTCCCTGTTGATGCCTCTCGGCGGCTTAGAACGCAATTCCGGATACAAGGGTTACGGTCTAGCCTTGATGATCGAGATACTCTGTGGTATCCTCAGCGGGAGTCAATTTGGACCGAACATTCGTCCTTGGAAGACCGGCGATAGGGTCGCCAATCTCGGACAGTGCTTTATGGCTATTAATCCGGAAGTGTTCGCGAGCGGATCGAAGAAGAGATTGTCGACCTTGCTTAAACAGCTGAGAGACTTGCCCGTCGCCGGCGAGGAACCCGTTCTGATCGCCGGCGATCCCGAGAGACATCATATGAAGAAGGTTGATAGAGAAGGTGGGATTACGTATCATCCAAATCAACTAAAAGCCTCGGAAGAATTCGCTAAGCATATGGGCGTGCGACCGATGAAACTCGTTTCTAAATCTGTTTGATTTTTCGCTTATAAACGGGAAGATCAACGAATTAATCTATTTCATTTTGTTTCTTATATCTCGCCATTGGTTCGATTTTTCTGACGTAAAATATGGAAGATAATCCAAAATTAATAAAGGCCGATTTGTATCCAGTGAAGAATTATTAATCGTTATTGATACTAAATACAAAGATTTTTTTATTACGATATGTATATATTTTGATACCGATTTATTATATACGTAATATATTACGTGATATTTTATCTTTAATAATATATTTGTTAGAAATATTTTATTTATTCGCTTTATGGAATAATAGCTTCTTTAAATATCTGAAAACATATCGAAATTGTTGATGTAAGATTTATATAAAGTTGACGATGCTTATTTCAATTACTGAGTTGTACAAATAATGTTTATTATGCAAGGCAAATCAGTTGGCGTGTACAATTCGATGATTTGATGGAGGATACAATATTCACTACGATGACATAATCAATGTTGCGATTTGATCGCCGGTCGATGATGATGACGACCTTGGACTTGCTCGCTCGTTCTCGATTACAGTTGTTACGTCTTTGCAAATGGGTGTCACCGATAATATAAGACTCAGCGGATTATTGAAAGTAAATAAGAGTCGCAAAACATTCAAGATCATTATTTTATAAGTGTTACAAATTTATTACACTTTTTTTTTATCAAGGTATACAAATATTTCTTAAAAATTGCACGTTTTGCAAATGGGCATTTATTATAAAAAAAAGTTAATATACATTAAGTATAATATAAAACATAAACATATTATTCTTGATAAAATAACTTTGTGTGAATTGCAGCTTTATATTTACAGCATATATTTTGATACATGATATATATATTCTCTGTGTGTATATATACAATATCTTATAATGGTATATTATACATATAGGATAAAGTATAAATATTAGGCTGTATTTTTTTATTATTAATATGTAGCCAGTATATATATATATATATATATATATTCAACCAATTTCATAATTTATAAAGAATTTATAAATGAATCACAGGATCTTTTCTCGTATTTCGCTCATTTTTACAGGGACAGTATGCAGGGTTTATCAAACAAAACAGTTGCGCAGACGCGGCGTCTGACTCGAGTTCGCATTATCAATCCTTGTCGAGAGAGAACAAGTGCAACAGATTAAAAATGCTGACGTTTCTCATTAATTTCTCAGATTCGAAAACACGTTAATAGAACGAGCAGAAAAATTAATTTATTTCACGCGAGGCTTACCTTGTATGAAAGTAGAAGTTTGCTTTTATAATAATTTTCTATCGCGGAAATTTTGATAAGATTTTATCTAATGTGAAACATGGTATTATAGAGGCAGACTTTTCTTTAAGAGTTCATTGATAGAATTTAAATTCCATCCCGTCAAATGATTGAATAGATTATCCGATGTGAATGTACGCCGCGTTCACAAAGTGTGAATAAAAATCACATCATTGCATTCTCTCAGCCAATGTATCGATAAATTTAGAAAACGCTTGTCCTTTACAGTTTTTTACAATTTGTTAAATAAATCGATTTTTCGATTATAGTTATACTTTCTTCAAGAAATAATATTTCATAAAATTCACAAGTACAACTTATTATCTCGCTTTTTTATATCCATTTTTTATATTTGTATATAAAAATCTCTTCGTTAGTATTAAATGCATCGCAATGACTGCATTGTAATTACATATATTTTGATTAGTACTAAATAATTGCAAGGATTTCCATATAACAGTGTTGTAAATCATGGTGCACGTGCGATGCAATTAGAGCTCCTCGCGACGAAGGTCGGTTTACAATTATCACCATTGACTTTTTTTCCAAAAGAAGAACCTACGTAAGCGACTGTAAAGAAAAGAACCATATTCTTAGAAAAGACAATTTTATGGAAGATCAGCTTTTGGAGTATAACGTACGCGCTAATGGATTGTCGACAAGTGTGATTCTGTTGCTTTTACAAATTTTACAGTCGATTCATTTAACGTATTATTGATTATATTACGCGAAGAAATTTTGTTTTCATCTTAAAAAATGTACGCATTTTAATTTTCAAAATAAGTACATACATAATTATTCGCGAAAATTTATTTTATCAAAACGTGGATGTTTCGTTGCTTGCGAGCGTAATAACTGTTACTATTGGCCACTTACTTTTCTGTTCGATGAAGTCAACAGATATACAGGGAGTTCAAAAGTTATCGGCACAATACGCATACATACGCTTTGTTTGTCGCCGCATTATCAAGTAGGCAGAAACGACACGATGTCTCTAGCATTGTAATTACATATATTTTGATTAGTACTAAATAATTGCAAGGATTTCCATATAACAGTGTTGTAAATCATGGTGCACGTGCGATGCAATTAGAGCTCCTCGCGACGAAGGTCGGTTTACAATTATCACCATTGACTTTTTTTCCAAAAGAAGAACCTACGTAAGCGACTGTAAAGAAAAGAACCATATTCTTAGAAAAGACAATTTTATGGAAGATCAGCTTTTGGAGTATAACGTACGCGCTAATGGATTGTCGACAAGTGTGATTCTGTTGCTTTTACAAATTTTACAGTCGATTCATTTAACGTATTATTGATTATATTACGCGAAGAAATTTTGTTTTCATCTTAAAAAATGTACGCATTTTAATTTTCAAAATAAGTACATACATAATTATTCGCGAAAATTTATTTTATCAAAACGTGGATGTTTCGTTGCTTGCGAGCGTAATAACTGTTACTATTGGCCACTTACTTTTCTGTTCGATGAAGTCAACAGATATACAGGGAGTTCAAAAGTTATCGGCACAATACGCATACATACGCTTTGTTTGTCGCCGCATTATCAAGTAGGCAGAAACGACACGATGTCTCTATCACACTTTCGTGATAACGTGACTCGTCGCATGATCGAAGGGCTGAAAGCGATGAAAAACTTAAATGAAAAATATGTTGTTGTATGAAATCGTTATCGCAATTAACGAAAGAGTCAAAGATCGAGTATATTGAAGCGCGAACTTGATTTCAAATTTGTATAACTTATCCTCTAGTTGAACCCTCAGACGACATATTAAATTGTCTGTTAATAGAGAATAATACGTGACTCATTAAAGCGTTGTCGGTTAATGACATCACAGCCGACGTTAATTAGAATTATCTCTTTAGTCGAATCTCCGCTTGAACGCTCGGTGTAATCAAGCTATATTCTCGCATATCCTAATTTCTCGGGAAAATAACTTTACAAATATTCTTTTACAAAAACTATACTAAGATTGCTAAAATTTAAATTTTCTATACGATTATATAAAATTAATAGAGGACAATCTGGGCTTAAAAATTATTAATCGGATTTAAATAAATTATTGCAGAGAGAAGTAATTTTTTTCTATCTCCATATATTTTTTGTGGATTAAAATAAAGATTGTATGTTTGAGGACACAACAATTTATAAATTACATATAAGAAATGTATTTCTGTCGAAGGTAGAACATGATAGGGATCGTAGAGTCAGAGCGCGAGACTCAATTTTTCGTCACGACTAAACAGGAAGGAAGATCCAATGATTGGACGAACGATCCTGTCCAAAATGCAATCGCCTGCAGTGTTGACGCATTGCGAGCACGATAATTCATTGCCGTGCTCCATGTGACTCGCATTAACTAATTCACTACGATCTAACACCCAGGGGGTCATGGAACCCATGGGACATCCGTGGCCTTCTGGGACTCGCATTCCCATGACGACTTTCTATACGATTATATAAAATTAATAGAGAACAATCTGGGCTTAAAAATTATTAATTAATTTTAAATAAATTATTGCAGAGAGAAGTAATTTTTTTCTATCTCCACATATATTTTTTAAGAATTAAATTTTTGTGAATTAAAATAAAGATTGTATGTTTGAGGACACAACAATTTATAAATTACATATAAGAAATGTATTTCTGTCAAAGGTAGAACATGATAGGGATCGTAGAGTCAGAGCGCGAGACTCAATTTTTCGTCACGACTAAACAGGAAGGAAGATCCAATGATTGGACGAACGATCCTGTCCAAAATGCAATCGCCTGCAGTGTTGACGCATTGCGAGCACGATAATTCATTGCCGTGCTCCATGTGACTCGCATTAACTAATTCACTACGATCTAACACCCAGGGGGTCATGGAACCCATGGGACATCCGTGGCCTTCTGGGACTCGCATTCCCATGACGACGAAACGTACATGTACATATCGTAGTCTGTAAATTTAACAAAACAATTATATAAATTCTTTGAGAAAGCTCATCCATTGATATAGTTTTATCTGCTTCTAAATATCTTCTATTTTGTTTAGTTTTTACCAAAAATGTTTTTTTTTTTATAAATTTAGAATAATTTAGATATTCGTGAATGTGTGTGAGACTGAAAATATATCATTACGGAAATATTATTGAAATACGTTGCAGTTTTTTTACGAATTATAATATTTAATATATTCGAGGTTTGTGTATCTTGCAGCTACAACTATGTCAAAATGTTATTAAATTATATACTACACACACATGCAGCTCTATATGAATATCCGTCACGTGTCGAGAGAAAATCGCGAGAAATTTACGTCAAACGTAAAATGACAAAATACATTCATTACGAGAAGCTCAAAAAATATTGGCGTAGGCAAATGTATTACTTATTATACCCTGATATTCGTTTGTGTGCGAGAATGCAAAACGTACGTTGTTGCAGATTATCGAGAGGTCAATTCGTTCTCGGAAAGAATTTATCTCAGTTGCAGGTTCTCACACACACTGGCAATGAGTCAACTTTTGACAGATCTTTATCGCGATTAATTGTCGTGATTGCCGGGCTTCATTGCTCGATATTCATTGTCAGCGATCGGCGAAAATGCGCCTTTTCGCTCTTCTCCGCGATTTCTTCACAAATCGTCTCACAACGATATCCGACTCTGTTGCGGTTGGTGCAGTTTCGCGAAATTTTTACATCGTGTACAAACAAATGTATTAACATTTAATGTGACCGAATCATGCCGACTGTATGTAAAACGAGACAGAATAGGAATTTTCGCGGAGAAGGTTAAACTGTTGGCGTCTTGTGACGTCTTCCAACTTAATGACGTACAAAAGTGCCTAATTGCTAGATAAACCGTTCGTCGCTAAAAATATGCCTTATATATACATGTGAGTCTACTTTACACTTCGAGTCTATTTTGTACGCCGAGTCTTTGTGTTTCTTACTTTTGTGATACTTGCCGTGCGACAAACAAAAATTTTTAAATGGACTAATTATTATTCTAAAAAGTGCAGGTAATATAATTAATATGCACGATCTAATTTCTTCTTTCACCATCTATTTTCAGCTTCCCCGATATCTATATTTGAACAAGCGCGATATAATACATTTTGCGAGTGTTATTAAGCCATGACGAAAAAGCTGTATCGGAAGTTAAAATCATTGCGCAGCGTTAATTAGCTGGCGCAAATTTGCACGCTCGGCGGGGCTTTTGAGTATAGCATAATAGATACGCACGGCGATTATCTCTTTGCATCACGATGTCCGATATAGGAACAGATCAAACAAACGATTTGTACGGTATGGTTGATCAACAATTAAAGGCCTTTCTGCTTACGTGCATGCCGCTGAATCCGCTCTTGTTTAATTATCTGCATGCCGTCTTCGAAAATTACTCGACACTTAGCCACCGTATGAGAAGGTACGTAACAAGATTTCGTCTTTGATATCACGCGTGATTGTTTTTATTTACGAATTATTTTAGATACAGATCAATTTAATGTTGAAACAATCAATTTTTTACGTTTGCTTTGCAAAAATCGACTGTTAGTTTTCTAGTGATTTTATAAAGCAAAATATGTGAACGTGAAAACTAACAAAATGCCTAAATACATATTTAATGTCTAATACATACATCGGAAATTAAAAAATTATTGTTTAAAAATAATATTTCGAAATCGGAGAAGTCATCGATCGGAATTGACGGCCGGGCTGGTTAAGACGACCATTCATCAAATTACGTGGTAATTTTGGTCAATGATAACTCATGACTTTGAAGGCAGCTTCCTACGAACCCTTGTCGAGGGAAGTAGCCAATTGCCGTGCACGGCTTTCGTACAGTCGCTACTAGAAATGCCGCCAATAAGATTTCCTCGACGCTCTCATTGAAGCGATACTTGATGATAAAATCAGTCACACCGTGCGGTTTTTGCAGCAATGTATGTGCGTGATGATAATATTTTTTACAAGTTTTTATTACCTGCAAAAAGTTAAGCAAATTTTCTCATTCTTTAATTAAATATATAATTCCGCGCGAATCAATTATAATGATAACTGATTATAGATATAAAATGTCGGTTATTAATCGGTAACGTTCTTTAAAATAACAATTTTTTAAATAATCATATTAAATGTGCAGTAGAAGCAAATATAAAATAAAATGCAAATGCATTTTCTCATAGGTAAAATAATATTAATTAATATACTTAAATTGAATTAAAATGTCAAGTTTTTATAAGGGGTGGCGAATTCTTTCAACATTGCGACGTACGCGAGGTGTTCGTTGACAATGGGTAATTTGGCTGGATGGGGGGAAAGGGGGAAAATCGCGCGTGTGCATGTGCGATGTCGACGGCTGTCAGTGAGGCCTAATGAGTCCGTAAATTGAACCAGGCTATAGGGCCTTCTATCTGAGAATTGCACGGTTGGTTCTCTTGTCTCATTGTCAGTGTGACTCACTTGCTTCGTGCGCGAGTTTTCTCTCGCAGTTCTCGAATTTTTAACCTTTCTTTATTAATTTTTCGCACTTTCCACGCGCTTCCGGTATCCGGCGTATTCTTCAATTCACGCAGTTTCTCTGTTTCCTTAATCTGGAAAAATGGGTAGAAGCTTTTAGCTGAAATTGTGCTGTGATTTCATAAATAAAAAGGAATACAACGAAGTTCTATAAGTTTGTCACGAGGAGATCGGATCGTCGCAAAAAAAAAAAAAAAAACGAGATTACACATGGTGAAGCGAGACAATAAGTTGTCAATCAACTCATTCGTTTTCTCGGAAAATACGAGACTGCTTATTTAATATGCGGAGAAGCGGAAGGTCATAAAGCGTTAATGTATTGTGAGGAAATATCGACCGACTGCACCGACGCGAGTGCATAATCCGTGAAATCGAGACGCGATCGAGCGAAGAGCGCAAAAATGGCGAACCAAATCGCGAAGAAAGAACTTCTAGAGGAGACTTTACACCATCATCCGGAAGGTAGCGAGGAGGAAGTGGATAAAGAATGGGAAGAATTTACGAGACTGATGGCGAAATTGAAGGAAAAACGCCGAAATCGACCCCACAGGTATATTTGCGCGGACGATTTTTTTTTCTAATTCCAGCAACAGAAAAATACATCTATAAATTTTGAGATAAAGAAATTAAATACGTCTGCACACGTAACAAAATTTAAAAATTATTATTTTACTTTTTACGGAAAACTGTTTAATATTATAACCAAAGTGTTATGCAAGATAAAGTGTAACAAAGAATTTATGAGACTTAAAAACAAATAAGTAACTTCATGATGAAAATTTTCAATGTCATATTAGAGTAGTTATTAAAAAAAATGAAAGATAAAGTTAAACAATATGTTACGATATATACGATATAAAAAAACAAGATTCGTCGAAAATCTGGAATATTTTTTAGACCGTCGCAAGCGTTCTACCCATGTCCTCCGCCAAATGCGGACGAGGAACAGCAGGAGTTCGATCCTTTCGACTATATTAACACGATTGTAAGCGATTTCTCTTTGACGATAATTTGGTTTCTTGCTCTTCTGTCTTTGGAATCAATTGCAAATTGCATTCTCTCGAAGTTCTGCTTGTATGAGCATGCGACTTGAAAATATTTCTTACTATTATTAGCCGCATTCTGAATGCTTTATTGTTCGTCTTTACAGTATTACACATTTTATCTCAGTGATATATTTTATGATAATATTTTCAAAATTTATAACAGAATTTTGACTGCATTTTTGACCATATATTATATATAATTATGAGTTATTGCAACTTTTTTTTAATAATATTGTTAAGTACTGCACACACAGACGCGGTTTATAATTAAACTGTAGCTGTTGTTGCTAGATGAATCCTAGACAAAAGGCTGCCTGCCAAGAGTCAATGTGCATGTATATACAATCTTTAAATATTTATTGTAAAAAATCATTGCTTTGTGTAAAATATTCTATAACTGTACATATGTTATTATACATAAACAAAAATTATTACATACACGATAATCACATCAAAAGTTTATGTCCACATGGGACATTTGCTGAAATATATATTGCTTGCTTTTATGATGCATTTTACAATCTATATTTCGATGATTAATATTTCATAATCAAACTCGGCCTGCTTTGATGTAAACGTTGCGACTTTAACTAGCAATTTGTCCGAGATTTTTCATGGTTCATAAACCATTCTGTAACATGGGACCTAACGACGCGACCTTTGAACAATTGCCAAGTAGGCGAGACTACATTTTAAATAAACGTTTCGCGAGACGTGATCGTTGTCGGATACAATAGCGACTAAAGAAACGCGCATATTTTCTTTAATTTATATTATACTATCTAGATATTTCTACGCATTGATATGTGCAACCTGAAGAACCAATCTTATTAATTTTAAATTCGCGATTTTTATTGCCGACACAGAGAAATGCCCGTCATACGACTCCCACAGTTACAAAAAAAAGAAAAAAAACACGATTTGCTCGTGATAGTTGACAGGAATGTGCGTACGCTATAGACCTTGACTCGTCGCATGTCACACGAGAGCATATCGGCCTTGCTACGATGACCGGCCGCATGTCGAAATCTTTGAACAAATTTAGAAACGCCGGCCGGCGCGGGTCGTAACATTCGCGCGAAATCATACGGAGAGAAATATTTCAATTCGAATTTCTCGTTTGATATGAAAAAATATGAAAAATGTATAAAAGATGTCACGTTACGATCGATTGGAAATATCTGCAAAGCCGAAAGATACGCAGGGACATGTTGCAAAAAGTATAATTTCCGTACAACCGTTCTGTACGAATTTTTCTGCGTAAAGTACGTAAATCACTCGAACAAAATGCGTTACGTTGACAGCCTTTAATAAATATTCCTCACGTAATTCGCGGTACTTTTTCACGTTGCGCGATTTACTCCGGGCAGGTATAAAATAAATGGGACGTGTTCGCAATTTATTGGCAATTCGCCACAATACGGCGTAGAGAATTTTACAATATATGAAATATTAAGAGCCTGCTGTAATCCGTCAAGTATTATTACGAGCGATGAGCGCGTCTTTTCGATGTCACGTTGCAAATTGAAAATTGCGACACTCGAGAGCTGACCGCTATTTCGCTAAAACAATGCAAGCAAATGCATTTTACAACGCGACTGTGAGCCCGACTAGTGCAGTTTAATTACTTGCGGTAACGATTTACACCAGTCATCGTAATTAACTAGTTGATCGGCTGCCAACTGATTGCGAATAATTTTCACGTCGCAATTTCTATAAACAAGAATTTTTCGCGATTTGTGCTTCTCGAGATATATATTTGTTGTAAACCTTGTAACGTAAAATCTTTCTTCCCTTGATTAAACGTGATAAACGCAAAATCGAGACGAATCAACATACCAATTGTTAAATACGAATTAAATTTAATTGGTTTTATTTTAACAATTTTAATAATTGTTTTATAAAATATTAATGAAATTTGATTGAAATTTCATAACATTTTTCTTTGTAGCAAATATATTTATAAATTTTGTGTTGTTTTTTATAATGTACATATGTATGAAATTTTGGCTTATTTCTTTGATACAAAGTAATCAAGATATATTTAAAAAAATACATCTTTAACGCGCACGTAATTGCGTACAACCGCATATTAATTCACTTGATAATATAAAGTACGCACGATCTTTGCAGCAATATCTCTCACGCGCGTGAATGAGCTTTTAAGGACTTGTTATCGGACATGCGTGATCAGCATGAAAAGATCCTCGTGATACCGCGATGCACACATATACATACATTATATAATATATATATATATATATATATAGAACTAAAAAGTGCACGCATCGTGTATGTGTACATTTCCGGAAATTGCACGTATCAAGAGAATGCAGTTTCCGGATGTATACACCGAGAGATGTATTCTCTTCACTGTTTTCCCGTTGTAAATACTTTTGACAAATGTGTTCGTATCAAAATGATTAAAATAGCTACAATTTATGAAACAAATGGGGTCCGATAATTTAATGAAATTCTGTCGGCTCGATATTTATTTTCGAGCCTATTCATCATACGTATCACGAATCGGTCAGGCCTAATTACTAAAATTGGATTAGGGGCCGATTGCCCAGTGGAACGTGGTCGTCATTGACGTCACGATTGTACATATAGTCGCCACTCAGGTGTTGTCTCTGTTTCAGTTTACTGAATTGGACAAATCTTATCTAATCTAATATAACTTTTATTTCTCACGCGATTATTTTTACATTTGAATTAATCGTTTGATGATTAAATCGAGCGTCTATTGCATGTCTCATCAGCATTATATCTTCCACATGCTCTTCCAGTGCGATTTGACGTCTGTGAGAATTAAAATGCATGCAACTGTCAGGCAAAAATGATTTCTAGGTTTGCCACTAAATGAAATTGATATCCTAAAATACAGTTGAAACTTTGCGGTTTATTATACAATCATTGCAATGACAGGCAGCATGATAACGTAATGCTTCCGTCATACGCATTTATATCAAGAAGTCTCGGTGTCAAAATCGTATCAAGGTATCACACTTCAGTCAAGCTCGGGATCATTGACGCCGCGGCGGAAATCGAGACTCCATTATCGATGTTTCTTGTTTTACAAGATAATCTTTAAAATAACATCTCGCGAAAAAGAGGACGATTCGTAAAATTGTTGTGATAAAACAATCACTTGCAGATATGTATCGATACTTTTACTCGCTGTAATATTTTTTTATCAGCTTGAAATGCTTTATTCGATAATATACACGATCGATCGTTGATCAGTCGATTTGCGAACAATATAAACTTGTAACAAGTGGACAAATAAGCCAAGATGACGCGTGCCAAGTTGAATGTAAGTATGATAATATTAAAGTTATATCCAAAAAATGGAAACGGTAGATAAATAGCGCTAAATAAATAAGACATTAACATCTCGTATCACATATATTTTTGAGAGATTCTATAGGGAATAAATAAATTTATTATTGTTATATATATTAGACGATGTGTGATACGATCTAGTTTCGAAAATATCTCTAAAGATACAATTTTACATAGATATGCGTGGACGATAAGAGAGTGCGTCTTGAAAATCTGTGCGCGACGTGCATTTTTACGACATTAGGTAAAACATAGCGGCTTATTCGGCAATAAACAATAGGATTTCGCCCTGTCGACGCAGTCTGGGTGACGCTAAAAATAAGGATTTTGACTGTTGCCAAATTTCAACAAATATTCCCGCTGAGATTTGAAGCAGACATTAACGAGACGTCGTCGTTCAGTTTGCGTTCGTATGCACACACGCATAGATGCATTTGGATTGTTTGTCAGAAATCAAAAAAATTCTCGGAATATAAACGCACGCACAATCGTAAAAACTCGCGCATACGTTGCCGCAAGTTTATCACCAATCGCTAAAATCGCTCAATCTCGCGAATGTAAATAAACATGTGTCGAAAAATACAAACAATCGCGTAATGGCAAAGGATTTAAAAATTTATTGGTGGCGAATAAAATTATTGAACAGTGAAAAGACTTTCCTAGGTGATACATTGAACGATGTAAACAAAACTCTAATGGTGGAGAATTTTTGATATAAAAAAATTATTAAAAGATAATTGATTTTTTTATTTGTGATGTATTAAAAAATATAAACAAAACTCGCGAAATGGATTATTCAAAAATTTATTGGCATTGAGAAATTATTAAATAGTGAAGAGAGTAGATTACGGAGAGATAAATAGAGTATTTTTTCATTTTTTTCGATTATTATAAATCTTCTTGTTTTTATTATTCTTATTTATTTAATCTCAAAGACTAACTATAAGTAAGAAACGAGCAATAAGAATAATATACATCGATCGTCGCTGAAACTTTCGAGTTTCGGGATTTCTGAACGATGACTTTTAAACTTGATGACAATGAGAAATTTTATACATATGTTAAATTTCAAAAAATTACTTTTAATAACTATTTCTAAATTCAATAACGATAAAGCGATAACCATCGAGTCTACTTCTATCTTTCAGTCGATTGGAACTTGTGTAAAACCTCGCGTTTGCGCAAGAGACAATAGTAGAATTTTACATTCGAACTTCCGAATGAAAGTAAAGAAGAGAACATACGAGCATGCGATGATGACTTAAGAAATGTTTGATAATTCAAGGAGAACCTCAAATGACTTAAACAATTCGATTTCCCGCGAATCAAATAATTCGAGTATCGAGTCCTCGACGCGATCTGCGGAATTTTTCACTCAGATTTCTACGCCAACTGTGGTCTTGAACAAGGCGTACTTCGTCTGTAACGACAGCTATCTCGTAAGTGCACAATTGCATATAAATTTATTCCATCTTTCGTGAGAAGGTAAATTTCTTATTGAGATATTATTATCATATATATATATTGAGAGAGCACACAGTCTTTTCTCTCCCAGTATTGTAAATAAAATTTTATCAGATTATTTCTTATAATTCGCTATAATAATAGCGCGTTATCGGTTATTGCTGGAGACAATTAACGATAATGAATCAACACGCAGACAATCATGATGCTTCATTAGTAAGTTTGATATATTTCTAGCATGCTTGATTACTACTGTAATTATTGTGTGCAAAAACTTTATTTCAGATTTATAATTAAATAAATAGATTTGCATTTAAAGAAAATAGCATGAATAGCTGCGATCAAACGTGGTCGTTTCTTAAACTGTTTTTCGTACGACTAATCGTTTGTGAGTTTTTATCCGAGAAATTCATTATCATCGAAAATATCGAATATATTAATCGATACACGTCCGCGCGCGGATGCAGTTGATCTTGTGGATAAGATAAATCGTTTTGATAAATAGTATACGTGTGAGAAATAATTGTCGCGTTTTGAAACGGTTGTTTTTTAGTTTTAAATCAGCCATCTAAATAGCACATCTCTATCATTTTTCTTTTTGTCAATTAACGCCATAAAAAATCTTAAATTGATCGACAATTTTTGAAATATCAATTATCTTTTAAAGACAAATCTATCAAAATCAAAACACCGTCAGATTTTGGATCGATAATAGATACCTATTAAAAGCACGAATTATATTTATTTAATTTCCTATGATAAAAATACGTAATTCTTATAAATTAATAACGCTTTTGTTATAGACCGTATTATTTTACATATGTCGAAATACAACAGCTGTTGAACAAATACTAAAAGTAATAGAAAAATTACATTTTTGGATTCAACATAAATAAACAGGAAACATTAAAGATATAAAATGCGACAAAATTTGTATCTTGTGGTGTTGTATATTACAAATGATGTTTCATGTAAAATTCTGTACGGATCGTTTAATTTTACGACCGGATGAACGAACAAAATAACATAAAATCGGCTGCCTCCAGATGTATGGTCGCTATACGAAGGATCTGGGTGAATACGCGAAGGAAGAGGCGCGCAGACTCAAGTACCATGAGAAAGCGAGACGAAAGTATGATACGACGAGGGCCGAGGACCTGCGAAAGTCCCGGGGTCCTTTGTGCCGGAAATTGTTAGCCCTACTGGCCTTCGTCTGGAAACACACCGGCGCACGGCTTGGCGAGGATTGGGTTTTCCTGGCTCTCCTCGGAATCATTATGGCGCTTATCAGCTACGCCATGGACCGTGGCATCTCCATGTGCAATAACGGTCAGTTTATTTCGCGTTAGGCGAAGTTTTATTTTTTAAGGGAATAATCTTAAATATTTCTCACACATGGATTATATACGGATAAATCTTTATGTTATAAAATATATATAATGTTAGAGAAATTATTTTATTATTTTTCTGGAAAATTAAAAGAAATTTGTGTCTATATTACTTATGAAGCAACATATGATTTTACATAGAAAATTACAAAGCAACTGTAAAATCTGAAAATTATCAGTGTCGATAAATTTGATCGAAGAAACAGAAAGAGATTTTTAGAAAAATGTTAAGAGATAACGCGATGTCTTTAACATTGATTGTTCCGCGATGCGCTGACGATGACCTCGTTTCACCAGCCAGGATATGGCTCTATCAGGATCTTACGACGCATCCGGCTCTCAAGTACCTGGCCTGGGTGTCTATGCCTGTATGCCTCATTCTCTTCAGTGCTGGTTTCGTGCACATCGTCGCGCCGCAAAGTATTGGCTCCGGGATCCCGGAAATGAAGACCATCCTACGCGGGGTGGCGTTGAAGGAGTACCTGACCTTTCGTACCTTGATCGCTAAGGTTGGTTAAACACGTTTACGATAACGATCCATAATCCATCCATCAAAATTACGAAAAAATTAATCTTAAAATAGATGACGCGTACGATTCAAAATTGTATATTATAACTTTCTTTTAAAGTCTCTGAAAAAGAGCGCGTCGCTGATTCCGCTCGAAATGAAAGCAGGAACGATAAAGATCGTGATATGCCAAAGGTTATCGGCTTAACGGCGACCTTGGGCTCGGGGCTGCCGCTTGGCAAGGAGGGTCCGTTTGTGCACATCGCCAGCATCGTCGCAACGCTTCTCTCGAAATTGGTCACGAGCTTCCAGGGTATCTACGAGAACGAGAGCAGGAACTGCGAGATGCTGGCCGCGGCCTGCGCCGTGGGAGTCGCCTCCTGCTTCGCGGCGCCGATCGGTGGCGTACTCTTCAGCATCGAGGTCACCACGGTATACTTCGCGGTGAGAAACTATTGGCGCGGTTTCTTCGCCGCGGTTTGCGGCGCCACGATGTTTCGCCTGTTGGCGATCTGGTTCCAGCGCGAGGAGACCATCACGGCGATGTTCGCCACCAGCTTCACCATGGACTTTCCCTTTGATCCGCAAGAGCTCTTCGTCTTTGCTCTGATCGGCGTCGGCAGCGGGCTGCTGGGCGCCTTCTACGTCTGGTTGCATAGGCAATACGTCATTTTTATGCGGAAGAACAAGAGCATGAACAGCTTTCTACAGAAGAAGTATGTTACTCGCGTAAATCGAGATTTTTTTAAAAATAATAATAATAGTCATATGGTGAATTCTTTCATGGGATCTTCCATCGAGAGAGATAAAATTTATTTGTAGCCGCTTTTTGTATCCCGGCATCGTGTCGCTCCTGGTCTCGTCTGTATCATTTCCGCTGGGACTCGGCCAATTCATGGCCGGCGATCAGAACACACACGATCAGGTTTACGGGCTCTTCACTAATTTCACTTGGACACAGGAGAATCTCGGCGTTCAGGAGATGAATATTGTCAAGCACTGGTCAACACCGTACACTGACGTTTTCAGCGGACTCCTCAGTTTTGTTTTAGTTACCGTAAGACGATTTTTATATCATATAATTACTCGAGATACAGCGCCATTAATTCTTCTTAAATATAATTGTGATAAAACAACAAAGAAATGTGATAAAAAAAGAATTTTGGGGTTTCAGTTCATCTTTTCTATCATAAGCTCAACGGTGCCGGTACCATCTGGAATCTTCATCCCCGTGTTCAAGATCGGTGCCGCGTTAGGTAGAGCAGTCGGTGAAGCAATGGCACTCTGGTTTCCTACTGGTGTGCGCTATGGCGGGATAATTACACCTATTATACCAGGTAATTTAATTAAACATGCAGTTATTTATCATATATATATTTATTTTCTCTTTTGCATTAAAAAGAGAATAGAATCAAATTTAAAAGAAAAAATTACTTTTATGATTATATAGGTGGTTACGCTACAGTGGGGGCAGCTGCGTTTTCCGGTGCGGTAACGCATACGATATCCGTCAGCGTCATCATCTTCGAGATGACCGGTCAGATCACTCATATTGTGCCGATAATGATAGCGGTGTTGATTAGTAATGCTATCGCCGCGCTTCTACAGCCTAGTATATACGATAGCATTATTCTTATCAAGAAGTTGCCTTACTTGCCCGATTTGCTACCATCCAGTTCAGGTATTTCTTCTTCTCTTCTTCTTCTACTTTCTCTCTCTTTCTCTCTCAATTAATTAAATTTATTTCAAACTTTTTCCAACTAATACATTAATATTATACGCTCAATTAATATTATACTAATTTCATTATTTCGCAAAGCATTTAGTTTGGAATGATTGATAAGGTAATTCTATACTTGTTGCGAATTTATCGTGAAATCCATGATTCTTAAAGAAATGGCCCTTAATTTTAGGAATGTATAATATCTATGTGGAGGATTTTATGGTACGTGACGTGAGGTACATATGGCACGGTATCAGCTATCAAAAACTGAAGGATATATTGAAGGAGAATCGCAAGCTTCGCGGATTTCCGTTAGTGGATAATCCGGACTCCATGATACTGCTTGGATCGATTCAGAGATTACAGTTAATCAAGCTTATCGAGAAGCATATCGGTCGCGAAAGAAGGTTGCAGGTAATGAAACTTTCAACAATTTACAGGAATTTATGTCACATTTTGTTTCACACTTTATTTTATGTTACATTTATCTTTATTGTTGACGTATTTTAGGTCGCGCAAAAATGGCACAAGGAGGCAGAGGAAAGGGCGCGTGAAGAAATGGAACGACAATTGCGGGAGCAAGAGAGAACGAGAAGACCTTCGAGATTCGAGGTCATCCCGGCACCGGACATTCTCAAGATGCAGCGGCAAAGTGTTAATGATCTAACAATGTCATCAAACAACGGTGGCGGTCCTGATCATGTGAGTCACACGTTCGTTCAGTTGACTTTGACGTCAATTGATAGACGATCGGAGCCGCGTATTATCGTCTAAAGCGTAAAGTTCTTTTGCGGTTGTTCCTCTTTATTATTTCGCACGTTACATTCCCCTTAAAAAATTAACATATTTTTTATTTTAATTTTTTTTAGCATACGTACCATTCACCGATATTCGGCTCGCAACCGAAGAAATCGATCCTGAAGAAGACGAATTCTTTCACTCTAAAAGGATTCAGCCCGTTGGTTAGTCCGGCTGTGACACCCTATACGACTGTTACAGGTGCGGAAAGCAGGTGAGTTATTTTCTTTTTTTTATGTTATTATATTTTATATTTACATTAATTTATTATCTTCCTCTTTTAATGTGTGTTTTATAAAAAACTTTGAATTTGATATGTTCCTTCTCGTATAATTTTGTTTTTTAAATAAATATATTAATAAAATTAGTTCTTTAAATTATATGTATATGCGAAATATTAATCTAGATAATAGTTATATTAATGATTATTTATATCTCATAGAATACGTTTGGCATTCGAGGCAATCTTCCGTAAATCCGCCACGTTGCAGGATGTGGATCCCGACCCAGAGCTAGGCAGCGGTACCAGACGCGGCGATAGCCAGGAAGTCATCAATGTACCGCCACATACGCCCATGTTGGCTCCAAGCCCAGCAACATCGAAGAAAGTACAATTGGTGAGCAAATACCTCTGGTTATTTTTTCTACAGACAAGAAGTAACGTTTGCATAACTTTCATGTGTTAACTAGCCTCGGGAAAGGGTGATAGATATGTCGGCCGAGGATCAAAAACGATGGGAGGAAAGCGAGATGGCACTTGAGGTGGATTTCTCAAGATGTCACATTGATCCGGCTCCCTTCCAACTAGTTGAGAGAACGTCCCTGCTGAAAGTTCACAGTCTCTTCAGCATGGTCGGCGTGAATCACGCTTACGTAACGGCTATTGGCAGATTGGTCGGCGTTGTCGCGTTAAAGGAGGTACATATGTATACAAAAATTTATTTAGGTATAAGTAATATCTAAAAATCTCGATTATACAAAATCGGCGAAGACTTGATAAAATTTATAAAATTAATGAAAATTTTGTTTTGTAGTTGAGGAAGGCCATTGAAGACGCAAACGCTGGGATTCTGCCGATGCATTCCGAGTCGCATATTGCCGAGTCGATCTCCAGTCTGACAAAGAGCGAGACGGATACAGAAAGTAACAAAAACATTAGCGCAATGAACTCCATAAATTCGGTAGACAGCGAGAAAGTGGATAAAGTTTAAAAGAACCGAACCGAGATAAGTGAAAATTTTGTGATAGCCACGTCGTGATACGATGTGGCCTGAATAATGCGAGAACTGTTTATTCCTATTCTCTTCCTTTCATGATTATTTGCGCGATTCGAGTGATGGATCCAAAGTTACACAAAATCGTTTAATGATATTAAATCTTGAATACTTCTCTCTCGTACTTAAACCTAAGGTAAACAAAATATCGAGAAAGTTTTAAGAAAAGACGCGAGTATGCGAAATAGTATTAAACATGGTGTGACATTGTATTTTGAAATTTTTTAATTTTATTCTAATATAATAACGAATGATATTAACTAAGTGACATGATTGCAGAGCATGTTTTTCACGTTCGCGATTATAGTAGATTATTTTTATCGAATAAATTCAAGATTCAATTTCTCGATAAACGATTTACATATGAAGGAATATCGTGGAGAGAGAATTTATATTTTTTCCTTATATCTAGATAATTAAGATAATATGCGCGTTCTTACACATATACATGCATGATATGTGAGAACGCGCACGAAATCGGTCACTTCATCTATATACGATAGCAGTGCTCGAAATATTTGCTAAATTGTAATCGACATAGCAAATAAATCGCGCATTTTGTCAAACGCCAGTTATAGCGAGTCATATTGGGACTTGCGAAATTTTGTATCTTAGTTGAAGATTCGAACTAAGAATATACGTTTACGAATATGCTGTGAATGACAAATCTATTGTTATATAAGGTAAGTTGCTTTTCTTTTTCCAAACGCAAGAATTTTGGCAGAGCGAAAGTGACTTGAAGTGCCAAACGCAACGTAACACTGCACTTCCTTCCGGGACACGAAATGCATAATTTATATTGCGAACCGATGTTAATTTTATATGTTAGATCATTCAGGAATTGTATGCCAATGCTCCCTTAGTTAGAAATTATCTGACCATGGTTGTGCCAGACTATTATTTATTAATGTAATTGTTAATTAATATTATTTAAGATAAAATCACTGTGTTATAGATCAAACTTGGCGAGAAAATATCAAAAGATAATTCTCTTTCATTCTCTACGCAATACTTACATAATGTAGAAGCAATCGAGAAAAATGTTCCAACTGTCTATTGGATATATTTTAAGAATAATTCTCTAACTTGCATTTATTCTTATAGGATACAACTACTCAATTCTTTTATGAAAATCAAGCATGTGAATTTTATTTCTTATTAAAAATCTAATTAGCATATGAAAATTTGTAGGATTATATCCTACAAATTTTCATAGAATTTGCAAGGATTATATCTTAAAGAGCAATTCAAGCTTCAGCGTGTCATGTATATCAAAATGAATATTTTCATAACTCGCTGTATTAGATAAATAGGAGATTAGATAAAATATTATGTATGTCGCAGAGTTACCATTCTAGTAATTTTACACAATAGAGACAATGTGTCATTTTATCGATATTCGTTACTATTACAGCTAGACTCAATTTTGGCGATATTTAATGCATGTTTTACATTCCACTGGACAAAATTCTCATCTCATTAGATGGTACATACATTACGTCACATCATCGTGTTATACGCGATGACACCGTTTGCCATTGTAAATACATTACGCGCATCGTGAAAAGACATTAAATAATTTATTATATCTATATATTCGACAATATTGTGTGTATATACATATATATATATATTGATTCCATTTTTTTAAATATTAAAACACCAACAAAAGAAGAAGCGTTCTTGCAAAATGTATACGATACTATTACACGATTCTCGATAGATGTAAAATAATATTAGGATAAGATTCGACTATAAATTCGATAAGATCTAGTTTGTTTTATTTTAATTTACGACACAATTTTTTTTCACACATACATATATATTATATTTGACATTCGCTTTATATACATATCTTACCCTCGGAAAGATAATCACATTTCCAAGCACAAATGAAAATAATTTGTCACATCGCAATTTTTAACACTTTAATAATGATGATTTTGATCATTAACAAAAGAGTCTTTTAATTAAACAACATTGTATGTTTAATCGACAGTTTTTTTTACACTCGATTACTTATCCAGACTGAACCAACCATGTAAACATTTAGGCACTGGTCCAGGCGTTTCAAAAGTAGCTCTCGCGATTTCCGTAAATGTCACAGCGTCCAAGATTAACAGACCGACCCGAGTCTCTTTTTCCGCCCACACGATAGAGCTTACAACCACACCATCGTCCTCGTTCTGGACAGAAAAAGCAAGAAAAAAATAATCGAGCTATTTGGATCTTTTTCCGTACAAATAAAGCTCAGACTCATACCTTTCCGTTCGGATTCGGCACAAAAATTGGTTCGCTAGGATAAATACCCTTTTCCTGCCATATTTTCTTGGTTTTTTGAAAAGTATCGACCTTGATCAGCTACAAGTCAAATTAGTTTTATTGTGCCGAATAAAAATATTTCGCATATTTCTGTGTGTATTATGTGTGTGTAAAACAGATTATTCAACGTAGTATATTTTAATAATTATATAATTTCTTTTATAAATTCGAGGAATGTACTAACCGTTCCGGGATTGTCTAGGTCCATGTCGCAGGAGATCGCGTAAAAGTACCGGTACTCCTTGCCGAGGTGGGAATCCGCGTTTATTCGCGGAGTCTCGCAACCGACGTCGCAGAGAAGCTCCGGCTTTACGAAGATCTTGCTATCGAGAAGCAGATGAGCGGCCGGCTTCTTTCGCAGAGCGCTTCTGTGTTCATCTCGCCAGTATCTGGATTTGTCACTGTACTCGATGTTATCCGTATCGCCGACGATCTCGAAGTCCGTCTTATGATCGATATTGATTATATCCTGAAATAGCTGTAAGCTCTGATGCACCGTTTCAATCGTAATGAGATTGTATTCGACCGGCGTGTCAGGATGCAGTTCCCTCATCGGAAGTACGAAACGCAACGGCCTGGCGCGAAACAGTCTGGCGAAATCGGCGTCTTCGTGCATGTTCTACGTAATAATTCATTAATAGCAGAGAGTTATTTGAAAATTAAAAATTATCGGCGTTATGTAAATCGCTTTCCTCGCGATTAATTTGCAAATGCTTACTTTCATTGCATCAATATACATGTACTCCAACATCTTCGGATCCCGATAACAGCATATGTCGAGCACGACGTATTCTCCGTCGCGGGTTTCGAACTGATTGATGATATGAAGGTAAAAAAATGTCTCCGCGACGAAAGTTCTCATTAGTTGACCCGTTTCCCTCGAAATAACATGAATGAGCGTCTAATAACCGAAATTAAATATAGTTTAATTTTTTTACTGATAATGATGTAATTCAATTAAGAATTTTTTTACTAATATAAAAACGTACGCTTTCATTCTCGTGCCATTTGAAGCAGTTTATCATCGGGTCTTTTTTAATATGAGTGATTGTCATTCCGATAAAAGAGATCGCTAACGGTTGTTCCACGATGATGAAGTAATTGTCGGTGATACCAAAGGTGTGCATGTACGATGGATTCAGCAACCATCTACTCGGCACGCTGGCCACGATCGTTGCTTGATCGAACATGGACAGCTCTCTCTTTTCTCCGTTATTGTCTAGAGAGTCATAAAGGATTGTATTCAATTACATAATTTAAATATTCGATTCGATAATGTCTCTTTTCAATCTGTCCTTTTTCTAAGAATTTAAGAGAAACGATCTAAATATATAAAATTTTCTTATAAAATTAATTTTTTTACGCGATTATTGATTTCTGTTGCAATTGACTCTACAAATCTTTTTCTTCCAGAAATTCCTGATCTCCACTTACTTATACAAAAAATATCTTACCAATGGTCGTCCGATTGGGATAGAAGCATACGACATTGTATCGAGGTCCAAATGGCGTTACACTCATTCCTACATTATAAATCGTACCGTCGGCCATAATGTGAGGATGTGAGGTATGATTCACAATGTTAACATATTCCGACACGTTTATCTGCGAATGAGAGAAAAAAAATTGTTTTTAATTAAACTAAGATTTATTTCATTGTATCTTTTATTAGCAAATAATAGTAGAATTAATTTATAAAATTAATATAAAAAACATTTTTGAATGTTTGTACCCTGCCCGTTGTTTCTAAAGTTTTCGCATCAATTCTGTGCATCACTGGTGCTTCCGCGAACGTATAATATTCATCACCGAAGGGATATACCGAGATCATGGAATTGTCAGATATTTCATCTGGTTTGAACACGGCGGCTACCCTGAAAAATCATAAGACGATATTACTTTAAAAAAAAATTTATAATGAGAGGAAAAACACACATAATTTATATAAAGCACCGCGAAAGATTATATAATTTTCTCTCTAAATCATCGTAATATTTACGTTTTAATCAGAATTATCTTTACTCTTTTCTTTTTTCTTTCTTTGTCTTCTTCTGTCTTACTTGTGAAAAATCCTGTGACAAGGATCCGGGGTCGCGCAAGTACCAAACTCGGTGAAAACTATCCTCTGAGCGGTCATATTTCTCCGGCTACCCTGAAAAATCATAAGAGGATATTACTTTAAAAAAAAAATTTTATAATGAGAGGAAAAACACACATAATTTATATAAAGCACCGCGAAAGATTATATAATTTTCTCTCTAAATCATCGTAATATTTACGTTTTAATCAGAATTATCTTTACTCTTTTCTTTTTTCTTTCTTTGTCTTCTTCTGTCTTACTTGTGAAAAATCCTGTGACAAGGATCCGGGGTCGCGCAAGTACCAAACTCGGTGAAAACTATCCTCTGAGCGGTCATATTTCTCTTATACACTTCGGTTTGAATGAACCGTCGTTGATAGGTGACATTTCCGTTCGCGATATGAAATCTGTGAAAATTACTCGCAATCAATAAAAGTTATCGTCCATCCGAAATTCTTACCGTATTATATTTTAACATAAAGCGCACTTATGCAACAGGGCAGAACTGTCAAACAGATGCTGGTAACGGTATTCGCCCACTTTTAGATTACCCGGACCATTCCGCAACAGGGTGCCCGTCAACCACTCGGGGATGCTGCCAGTGATTTCGCTCGATTGGAGAGGCTCGATCACTTCCTCCTCGCAGCTCCTCATCCACACCGAAGGGTCGCAATTGGCATAGTAACATATTTCGCGATCGCCTGTCACCTCATCATCCGGATTTCCATTTTCCTGTTTATTACGTTGCAAACAAGGAAATATTAATGCGCGCAAATTAACAAACTTTGCACGATTTTTTTACGTTGTCATGTGTGTAATGACAAAAATATCGCAGGTAATTGCGTGTAAAAAAATCGTGCAAAGTTTGTTAATTTGCGCGCATTAATATTTCCGGACTGTCTCCGCATTAAAATAATTCGGAGACTTACGTGAAATTCAGTTTGCAGTAATTTCCCGCACTTTGTATGCTCAAAATTATCCAACACGTTTGACGTATGTGATAATGATCCATCGAGTGATGATACAGGATAATTAATATACTCCATGTTTTTCTTCTTTCTGGAATCTCTTCTTTCGTACGACAGATTAAATTTGATCGTATTTGATTAGAGCGATTGACAAATTGTACGTATTAATTATATTCTTCCAAATTTAATTTAATATTTATTTTTATTTAATATTAAACTTTTATTTTTAGAGATACATTAATGTTTAGATACTTTCGAATTTTTATTCAACGATCTCATATGTTTAACGTCGATTGTCATTCACTCGCAGGAAGATACTCCGATATTCATTATTACACATTTGAAGTCGGATTATGTTAAAATTTATAATCGCGTTAGAGATACGCACACACAATTTTTAATTTTTATATAATTTTTATGTAAAAAATATATATTTTTTGATCACATCTCTTCCTCCTCCTCGTCCACGATAACGTTGTGATCGATCGCCGATTCTGATACGAGCGGTCTTAAAATCGAGATTAGTATTTGACGCAGTCTTATGTGTGTAAAATCCATCATTCGCGACGCACGTTCCGACGACGAATGGCATTACTACGCACGAATTTGTTGACCTTAAAAGCGATTTTATCCCGTGACATTGCTTAATCCTATTTGACGAGTCACCAGTTGATCGAAGTCTCTAATCGGCTCGTTCACGTGCGGCACTTGCGCGGCTTATTATATTTACGTGGAGAATTGCAAACACGTGAACGTAGAATGCAACGTGTGCACGAATGCATGATGACATACTTTTTCTCTGAATTGGATTAAAAGAAATATTTAAACTCTCGAAAAAAATTGCGATAAAGACTATAAAATTACTTTAACATATTACATATATGTATATATACTTGTTACTTATACGGAGTATTATTTTCGCAGTAATATTATTTAAATTTTTTCAGATAAGGTATCTATTCTTGTAAAACAAAAGCAAGTATATATTTTTTATATAAACATCAAAGGAAAAGTATTACGCTCGTTTCTTAATATTTTAAACGATTCTATCAATTATTATTATATGCGGATGGAAAGAATAAGATTTTTTTTACAATAATAAGCGCAATAAATTTACATGTGCCAAGAATTTATAATTTATTCTTGATGGAATTATTTAAAATATTAATAAAATACTGGCATAATACTTTGTTTTCATTTATGCACTATGTATTACATATTTCGTAATTTATAATAGATATTAAATTGTCTCTCTCTCTCTCTCTCTCTTATTTTAAGATATATATCTCACATAATTTATAACAGATATTGAATTATCTTATTTTTTTCAATATAAATTATCGACAATTATATTTTCCTGACAATCGATAATAATGATTTTGATTTTACCGACCGTTGTACGTTAATCGTACAGCAGGCGATCCACAGATGGCATCATAATTCGCATTGTTGTTCGCCGCCATCTTGAAATTTCTCATTCTCCTTCGGAAGTGAATACGGACGAAGTTTAATAAGAGTTCTACGAATAATACCCGCCAATTAAATTATTCAAGATTATTTACACTATCACAATATGAGAAAGAGATAGAGAGAGTAAGAATATATACTTGTTTTCTTTCATAACAGTTATGATAATAAGCAGAATTACGTCAATGACTAAATAATTTCGAGAGAATACGGTTAATGTTTCTCATGTAATGGCATAATTATTTTTAAATAGCTAAAAATAGACAAATGTTAACAGTTTTTTTGAACTTTTATTCGTTTCTAGATTGTGTTTGCCATCGAGACTTTTCTTTACTCTTGTTTAGCGATATTTAGCGATACGTAAACCAAGTTGTTGTCGAAGAGAATAAATTAGAGTGGCGCGACATAATTTGCGTTGCACGTAATGTAAACATGTATAAATCACGCGCGCATTTTATTTATCCTCTCCACGTGCAGCGCGTTTTTTACTTGGACAGTTATATTTATTTGAGAGGTTCATTAATTATCAATTAAACGTCTTTTACCACAAAACATGACTGGTTTATTTGTATCGTAAAAAAATGATTTTTGGATATGAGTTTATCATCTCTTTTTACTCCTTACAGGAAACAGATCCTTAATATGTTGCACTACGAAAGAGCGGCTGGGCGCCGCCAGATTTCCAGCAATCCTTAAATATTCCGGCAGGATGATACAAGGACGGCGATATTGGTAAGACCTCAAAGAGATAATCGATATATGAAAAGGAAAAAAGTTATCGAATATTTTTATCTCTCGCTGTCTTTACTCCAATTTATTCTTACGAAAATCAATGTGATTTTAGCAAGAGAGATTTACAAGCTCAAATTTTGAATACGAAAGATATTGTTTATATGGGCATGGCGGTCTCTTTCTTGTGTATTAAACATGTAATAGAGATACATGTTTACTTTTACACATTCGAGTCATACCGCGTGTGACGCGTCTCCGTTTGTCAGTGTTTCGCGTGGCGCACGAAATGTATTGTTTACGCGCGCGCGAGCAGATCGCACATGCTTAAACCACGTTGCAGTCACGTGCTGGTGCTGGCAAGGCGAGGTACGTGTCACATAAGCGCGAGCGCGCGGTCCGTGCCAATAAAGTCGAATTAATGCTGTTACGTACCCGGTGGCTGGAAAACAATGCAGCCTTTTTCTTATGCGGAGAGCGTCTCGCTTTTATGTCTCCCCGAGTTTCACAGTAATTTGAAGTTACATAACGACTGAATTAAACAAATAACTTTGAACGAAATGAAATGACTATTATAATAATAATCGTCGATTTCCTTAAGCTTGAGGGAACGTGAGTAAACAAAAGATAAAAAAATCGATTTAAAAATTCGGATAATCTATAAAAATTCTTTGATTACACGTAATTATTCTCAAAATTATTGACGGTTATCAATATATTGTCACATTTTCTATGTATTTCAAAATTGTGTCAACAATTAAAATATTGTAATCGGCGCATGCTTTCTGTTTGCGGACGAAGGTGATCCGAGATCGAAAAGGTAAGTAGTTTGATATTATCCCTGATCGCATAAATATCAATTTCCGAAAAAGCTTGTGTCGTTTTATTCGAATGACACCCGGAATACGTCCGAGATATCTTATATTCTAGAAAGATACGCGCTTTCTGCTCTTTCATTAGTATTATAGCTAGTATATGTAGCTCTTTCATAGTATTTGTCGCGCGATGAGTGGCTTCGCCATAACAAGATTTCGTGTCACATGCATATGCGTGCGTCAATTTCTATACTCGTATCGAATTGTTTACTCACTGCGTTTAACGAGATTGCTCGACGCGATTAATTAACGACGGTTATCCCATTGGCGCGTCAACTTGCGTTAATTAACGATGAGAGAGAGAGAGAGAGAAAGAGAAAGCAAACGATGCAATATCGAATCTGGCTTCATTTCGAGCTTCTCTCAATTGCGTAAATTGTAATTAAAATTTAATATAGAAAAAGATTATGCATATAAGCGTATTCGTATTTAAAGATAGAAGACTCAAAATAAACAGATAAATTTTTCTGATCTATTTTTCGCAATTATATTCCAAGTAGTATTATAATTATTTATGAGCACGCAGAAAGATATTTTTTACATTAATTTTGCACGCAATGCTGTTTATTTATTTTTTAGCGAATTAACAACTGGCAATTTTCTTCATTTTTTCGAAAAATATCAATAATCGTCAATTAAACTTCTCTCGATGAGATAATATTTATTTTGCTGTGCTTGCTTTGAACAGCCAATTAATATTCTAATTGCATATATAAAGTTCGCGTTTATAATTTCCGATAATTTGGAAATTTAAAAAATACTAGTATTTAAAAAAATATATAATTTCGCAATGCAAGCATTTTATTTGGATTTAAGTGATCAATTCAATTAGAAACTAATTTTATTATTTTAATGATAAATTATGTTATGTTCTTTATCCGATTTTCATTAATTGACAAAAGCGAATCATCAATTTTCTGCGTGTGTGTATATTTTTCTTGTATGTCGAATAATTTTATATATCTACACTATTATTAACATATGTAGAATTAATCTATTATTATAGTAATATATTTATAATCAGTTTCTAACCTTTTATTTTTGTTTTTTATCCATCTTGTTGTATTATCGTCCACGATTGCAATTGAAAATGTATCAATATATATTATTCGATTTCAATGATTCTGCAAAGTATGCAATTGCAGACAGAAATTAAAAATAATATCTCAATCGATAATTTATTCAATGAATTTGCCATCGAATTTAATGCTCCATTTAGTTCCCCGTTATAGGTCGATATCTGTTTAATATTGCAATTACCGTGTTTATGAGCTTTATTACCGCGCAACTTAGTCGTTACTTAAATCATTTAATTATACCTTAGATAATTGAGATAATTTAAAATCGCTGCTACTCATCATGCGAATATTCAAATAAATAATTATTTTTATCAGCGCAAAGAAATGGTAAGATAATATCAATAATATTTGATAAATCCTTGAAAGTTTATTTTCGCGTCATATATAATCTGACTTTAACAATGTAATTTTTTTTCTTTGAAAATCACAACTTATCTCTTCTTGTAATCTTGTTTTAGTAACGCTCAATATCTCAAAGATTACGCATGCAAAGATTATTATAATCGTTCTTATAAATATCTAGATAGAGTAAATTATACAAACATGTTTTGGTATTTGCTAGCAAATTTGCTTTTAGCTTAATATAAATTTTAATTGTATATTCTAACTCGTTCTCGATCTTCAATTTCTAATTGTCCTCTTCAATTTGCAACCACACGATTAATCTCTCGACAGATTTATTACTCAAGTACAGATATACATTATCTGTATTTGATAAACAGTTCCATTCGCATTTATTACGAATCCGAGACGAGGAAATAATTCCTTCAGACTCGTCTTTGTTAACACAATTCTAAAATAAAACTATCGTTTACGAGAAAAATGATGGACCGCCTACCATATGTCATCCCGCGTCGAGGATAAACGATTCACTGTTTCTATTTTTATTCGTTTAATAAACTATACGGGGTGTCAAATTGAAATCGTATTAAAGTAAGTTTATTTGAAATTAATCAAAGGACAGGATTTCGTAAATTAGTTTTTCTTCCCTGGAAGTTCGCTCTAATTCTTTTCGAGCGTTAATTACTCGAAGATTAAAGGCGGTCGAGGAGCGGAAAAAATGTCCAACGATAATTATCCGAGATACACCGTATATCCAGAATGGATGTAGATTCGCAATTGCGTGTCAATCTAATTCAGTACCATCGGTACAAACAAATCTTTATGGCAATAGCTTCGCGTCGTTCTGTGGATCCGCCGAGTTCCAGAGGCCCGTCGACACGCTCAATTACTCCGTGTGTCCGCAAATAACTAGTCGATATTGACGCACAGCAAATTGCACACGCGCATCGGTGAATTTCCATTCGACTGCTGCTGTCGGCTGATGCCGACAGGTGCCGATTACGTTAATGAAAAATATTTGTCAAATTCAGCTGCGCATCGGTACCATACGGAATGGAGACTTGACAAATAAATCGGCCTTGTTCATTTTTTTTTATCTCTCTTTTCGATCTTGCATAAAAAAGATT